GGCAACATAGGGCTATGATTCCACAGCTAGCCGATCAGCTTGCACTATATATAAGACAAGAGAGGAACCAAAATATGCACACATTTTTCTAGCTGCCGAAAATCATACCTCAAAATACCTTGTCCAAACTAGTTACGAGTGCTTATAAGACATTGAACTATCGCAAAATGTTGTCTGATTACATGTAAATCATATATTTTTCCAGATTTTACGCATTTATGACGAAATTTGACAATTTCTATTCTCTGTGATACCAGCCTTCAAGTTGTGTCAATCTGCGCATGCGTTCGCGCCCTCAAACGCCAGGACTGCATTTCCTTTCTTTGCTGCCAGAGTTTGAAATTCTCAACTATGCATAATGCACGGAGCACGTGTTTTGATGTAAATAAACAATCTGTTGTATACGTCACTTGGAACTCAAGTTTCAAGGACATGCTCGCGACAACCCCTCTGCTTTAATATGACGAGCACAAAGAGAACTTAATATAACGGGGACTGTGTCATTTTCAATGACTTGTTATATATAAACTGTTCTGGCATGGAGGAAAATTAAAAATATTGCATCACATTAAGTTGTTTGGCCACTAGATATATAGCCTGTTGTATATTCGTGGAGAAAGTGTTCAGTACCAAAAATAAAGTATCTGTATCCACAACTCAATGTTTACTTGAAATTATTTTTACTCACAAGCCATTGAAATGTATGTCTTTAACATTATAAACTATTTTTAAAAATATTGATAACTTTCAGTGCCATTGTGTGTCCAAATTCAGTTTATTGATTATCGGTTACGACTTTAAGCAGTTTTCTATGCAGACTTTAACTAGATTTTAGTTCAGAGTTGTATATTATTGTGGATTACAGCAACTGGATTTTTAAAAATTTCAAGTTGATAGTTAGGACTGAGGTGCTTTCAAAATATTAACTAATTTTAATACCACAATTTTTTTAAAAATGTCAAAATTACCAACTCTGAAAGCCACATAATAGCCTCCATTATTATGCATTTTATATTTCAGCTTGCAAACACAGAGGAATTTATTGATGGTACATTGACAGGAAACCTGGGCGAAGTTCTCATCAGGTAAGATCTACGTTTCAGTATCATGTAGGAATTACTGTAAACTATTAATTTCCGGAACTAGGAATTTTCACAATTCGTGGCATTTGTGGAGATAGAAACCCAGAACTTGTCACTGCTGCAAAATTTAATGATTTTTACTGTCATGCGATTTGTGGTGCATGTTCAATCTATACTGTACCCTAGTAATAACTGTTCAGTGCATCTTCTGATTCATAAAACTTTTGTCAGTACATTTAATACAAGTTAAAGAATACATGGTCATGAAATTCTGGGTAATTATTTGAGGTGTTGCGTTCTATTTTCAGATGTAACAATGTGATGTATATCAGGGGAGTGGAAGAAGAAGAGGAGGATGGTGAAATGAGAGAATAGATATTTATTTGAACACTATCACTTCTACTGCCAGCAGGCAAAAACCTGACATTTTTAAAGTCAATCTTTCCTTGCTATTACATCATGCAGCAATCTCGTGAAAACATAATTGTGGTGCGGACCATCATCATAACAACCTGAATACATTTCAATACAAGATGAAAGTTCAATACAAGCTGACACAAAGTAAACTCTTGCAGAGATTATCATTCCTGTAATTTTATTTCTTTTTGACTAGTAAACTGTTTTTTATTCAAATGCATTTTATGTTTTTGGTGTGAGTTAAAAAAAAAAAAAAATGCCACATAGTTAGCACAGCCACTATGACAATACACCCTCTGACATACGACAGACGTCCTTTAAATCCATTGCAACACAAACCTACAGGCCAATATTCTTTGGAGTGAATACGAAATTTTTACCCCATTTATGCAATGCTGAACCACTCAATTAGTGTGAAACCTCCTGCAAAATACATGTGGCATTGAAAATAAATCTAGACATTAAAGCAGTTATGTTAGCAAATAGCAAGTGGGAAATCACTCGCACACCGTGACAAGACGATTGGAAAGTGTGTGTAATTTTTTATGCACATCGCCTCACTGAATACTACCTGGCATTACTGTATGGTTTGGTTTATTGGCAGACATGTTCAACTTACTTGTACATGCAACTGGTAGTATTATGCCCCTTTGTTTGAAAATCAGTATTTAAAGGGGCACTTCCAGTTAAGCCTAATCGCACAACAAATTTACTTTCTGGATTAAAATTACAATGGATAACAAAAGATAGATTAACATTGTAAGCAACATCAACAATAGTGTCCCATGATTCTTTGGTGTAATCCCTGGGCTTGAAGGTACCCCGTTTAGTTGTGCTAGTCGTATCTATTGAAGCGACAGGTGTCAGAAATGTACACTTCTTGGGTGTTCTTGTGTAAAGAAAAACTACCAACACCAAAGAGTTTATTGGGTCTTGTCACTAAAAAAAAATATCATGAAATTAAGGAGCAAGTAGTCGCTAACTTTCAGATCAAAGATGGATTAACATTGGTCTGAAAGTTTAGTAAAAAAAATTGAAGTACTGTAGGTATTTCTAGAAATGTGTCTGGCTGGTTCTAGAGCTCCATCAGAGTATTCTGGCCTTAGGTGGTATTTACATCACAATTGTGGTTTGACTTTGTTATCACTGTACATCCCTGCTCAAATGATTTCATGTTCCTCATTATAGCCATCAACAAACGACCTTTAATGTGGGGGCCAGTTACTAAACATAGATTTTGCGTGAAATATCACTAGGTATTTAATCAGTACATGGAGATGAGATGATGAAACTTGTAATATTTCTGCTGATTATCAATAGCAGTTGAGAACTGCAAAGGAACCGCTACATTTTGGTTGGTTCATGAATATTACCATGACATTTGTATCGAGCAAGTGTTCTAGAATTTCCATGGTTGTGCTTCAACCTGTTTATGGCATGATATACAAGACTAAAGTACAGTCCAGATTTTGCAACGCATAGACTACTAATTAGGCTATGCCTATTCAGTGATAATTTGATTGGCCAAAACTCCCCCAATTCATGGCAGTCTTGGAACAAATTACTGTAAAGGGATGTTTCATTGAAAATAATCCAACGAATATTTCCTTTTTCCTATATTTTACATTCAACTTGTCAAAACAAGTTTTTACAGTAGTGAAATCATGGTCACACTGAGAATATGGAACACTTTCACTGCACGCTTGTGGTTTATTCGCTGTAACCAGTACATGACAATATCACTGACATTTACTTGAATGATTACCGGTAGTTATTGCAAAACAGTCACGGATTAAGTTTTGACTGCAAAATGGCTTCCCAAATTTTGTGTGGCCTCCAGCATGTGGCTATCGTTATTATACAGCAAAGTATGTTTCAAATGAACGCAGATATAGCTTTTTATGGAAGACTAAATTCAATTATTTTTTTTTTTGATTTTCTTCTCAAGGTTTGGTGTATACTATATTCCCCTTCTTCACAACATGCTTGATAACATGACCATGTCCAGCAAGCTGATAAACTAGATGCTCCCATCTGAAGAAAGAAAACATTAGATTAGATTAGATCATAGACCTTGTTTTCTAAGGTCTATGATTAGATTAGCATTATGCTTCTGAAGCCGAAATAAGTAAATTACAAGAATGTTTACAACCAACAGTAAATGTACTCCAGACAACTTTAGTAAGCCCAAAGGTTTACAAGGTTAACAAGGTTTATATTTATGTTGAATTCTACTGGTACTTACTTGGGAGCATCTATAATCACCAGATCGCCCACTTTACCAACTTCTAGAGAACCATGAGTGTCTGATTTGTTGAGTGAAGCAGCAGCATTGATGGTTGCTGCTACCAAGGATTCATTCATAGACATGTGTAGATTGACACATGCCAAATGCATAGTTAATGGCTGTTAAGAAAATTATACATCAGTTAGTACTAATGGTTACGTAACCCTGTATCTTCTGGCATTACCAGTGGAACTTGTTTCTGAATTTGGAGGATATTTGCTCAAATCAAATAATTACCCCGGTACTGTACTGTACTGTCAAGTGAATTTTGACAAAACTCAACCTGATTTCCCCTCCAATTGAATGATTGTGTACAGAACATTCAAAAGCAATAGAAGTGTATATAAGCTGAGAATATATTTTGGAGAAATCTCAATGATTCATGCTACCATTCAACTGCTCCATACATGCACTTCAAATATGGGATATGGACAAAGCAAATGCATGATTTGCCATAGAGAGGCAGAATGTGTCAGGATTTAAATCTGCTCCCAGTGAGATAACAAATATAGGACTTACCATAGAAAGGCAGAATGCATTGGGATTGAAATCTGTTCCCAGTGCAATAGCAACACCACTTTCTATCATTTTCCTAGCAGGTGGATGTTTTAACCTCAGTATGTAAGCGGTAGTTGGTAACAACACAGCAATGGTTCCAGATGATGCCATAGCAACAATACCATCATCACTGATTTCTTCCAAATGGCTAATTGCTGCTGCATTTAGTTCTGCTCCTAACTAATAACAACAAACACAAATTATATATCTGGAATTGGTATCAAATAGGGGTGTGTAAAAAAATAATAGTGTTTCTAACCCTGGAGAATTCTGAAACCACTTTACCTGGCAATATGCAAACTTTTATCTGATTAAAATCCGATGTAGGTATGAAGCTCCAATTTTTATTTTTTTTTATTATTATTATTTTTTTTTCAATGACCTTTTATATAATATTTATTTGTATTTTAGTTTGAATACCGGTATGTTGATTTTTGGTTTTTCTTGCCGTTAATCAGTTCTTAGGCGACTGGGACATGATTTTCTAAGAACTGATTAACGGCAAGAAAAACTGAT